CAACATCAATCAATCCTACCCCGGATAACAAGTCTCCCAATATTCTCAAACAATGCCCTGCCCCCCTCGGTTCAACATCCTTACTCCTTATCACACAGTTCCAATCACCTCCTATCACAGCAACCCCCGGCAATCCACGCAAATAATATACCAGAACGTCCCTCACGAATTTATTCTTTACCCTTACATCTCCCTCTGCCGGACCATACACACACACCAACGTCATCTGTACCTGACCCCATAACCCATCCACACGAATCGCCTTCCCCTCCCCCCCTCACTGACAACCAACGGGCTAGTTTCTTTCACCAAAATGGCCACACCTCCTTTCAATCTGATTGCATGCTCAACATACACATTACATCCATCCACCTTCAACTCATAACCCGGTCTATAATTGTGCTCCTGCAAGAACACAACGTCAACATCATGACGCACCAAATATTCCCTAAACCACTCACACTTTCTCTGAGACCTCAAGCCATTGATGTTCAATGTCAGGCACTTAAAACCGACAAAGGGGGTTTCCCTCTTGACACTACCGACTTATCACCTGAACGTTTCATTGCACCCTTTTCCCTACCCCCCCCCCCTTTCTGGGCACACTTACCCAACCCCTGCCCCTGAGTGCCACTTGAACCTCTCCGCATGGCATTCGCCCATGTTTTCTTCCCAGGCCGTTGTGCGGGCGTAAGCACGTCGTTGGAATCAGAAAGCACTGCTGCGCGCTTACGCGTCGTACCCTCGACCTGCATCAAGTCATCCAGCTGCAGTGCCATGATGAACCTCCACCTCCACAGTTCTCACCAACTGGGCATCCTTATCACACACTTAAGGCTGAGCTGGCATCACCACGCCCTCCTCAACTGCAGACCCATGATCCAGGTCTGTACCAACATCCTGACAAGGACGCTCATTGCCCAAAATGTTCCCAAACGTCGACACTATCGACGTTTCCTCATCGCTACCATTCACTTCCGCGATGACCTCATCCAGCACTTGTACAACGTCCAGGGAAGTGATGTCTTTCCCCCGCGTAGCCCCTGCCATCTCCTTTTCTTCGGCCCTCTCAACCTCCTCACTCCATGTCAAACTCTGCTGAGGCAGAGTCGAATACGGCTGATCTCGATCCTCTCTCCTTTCCTCCATATCTCGTTGCTGCTGGTCCTTATCACCACGTCGTCTTACACATTGCGCAGCCAGGTGATCATACGACCCGCACAAACGGCAAGTGCGTCGCTGCCCAGCTTATGTCACAAAAACATGAGTCCTGAAATCTTCCATCACCACGTACGATGGAATAGGATGTCTGAGCGTCATCTTGACAGAGAATGTGCCCTCAGGTATCCCCACATACGGGCCAGCTGACCACCTTCCTGCAGTGACCGTTTGTATTGTGCCGTATTTATACATAGTGAACCGGATATCAGATGCATCCGCCTCAAACGGCACATTCCTGATCTTAACCCATGTGTAATAGCTGGATACATCATGCAATCTCACCGTCACAGCATGATTAACTGGTATAGCCACTTCTTGAAACTTATTCACCATTGTCTCATACACATTCGCCGAACTAAATTTTACAAAAATCCTCTTCGTACCGTTCAGTGCAAGTCCACAAATCTCCTCATTGGCTATTCCGTAGGTATCTCTGATGATTGCAGGCAGAAGCAACTCCATTGATGGCCCCGTTACAGCTCCACTGGTTAATTCAATGCAGACAGTATTTACCCTGAGCCGGCTAGCCTGCGCCATGTTTGTGAAAATAATACTGCCACCAGACAACTCCAGGGGGCAGCAGCAGCACACGTCCTCTCCACTCAAGGGTTGAAAGACGAATGGTCACACCTCCCCCAGTACAGTCAGTAGCAGGCGATCTACAGCTCAAGGTGCATTGCTTGGAAGTCCTCTGTTGTTACAGAGCCATGTTTCCTTAGATTATACTTAAGGTGCTCGTGGGCGACTCATCCGTGTATTACGTCAAATATCAACTATCTGATACCTTCACCGGTGATCTGATAACCACTGCATAATAACTAGCAGCTTCATCCGTGTCATCGGAAATGAAACCTTAAGGTCCTGTACATAGTAATTTGTAAATATAATTGCGCACTCGTAACATAAGAGAGGAAACCTTAATATTTTGTTATTGAAATGTTCTAAGGAACACTATATTAAAGGCCATAATTTTTTACTTATGATTTTTTGACTAATAAAGTTATTAACTTAATCACCTTTTTGTATGAATTGTAAAGGGAAAAAAAATAAAATATATTAAAATATATATATATATATATATATATATAAATATAAATTATATATATATATAAATATAAAATAAAGACAAGAACATTTAAAGGCTTTCTAACCCCCAATCCCTTAACGTCAAGAAAATATTCTCGGTAATGATAAGGGGGGAAAAAAATTTTGACCCAAAAAAACCTTTGAAACTTCCAAAAACAACCAAATTAAATTAATTTTCCAACCTAATTTTAAAATAACAATTTCTTAGGATTTGGGAATTTTTTTATTCAAATTATTACCCAAAAATTTTTTTCTTGAATTTCTAAATTTTTAATTAAAACTTTGATTTTTTATAATATTTTAAAATTTATAAATTTATTTATTTTTTATTATAACTCATCATATCCCCAATTGTATTTTAGAATAGGTTTGGGGCCTATCTATATAGAATATTTGATACATGGGTATCTTAGTTCCTTGACTTTTCCAAGAATTATTATCTCCTTTTTGATATTGAGAAGGAATGACACACTTGGAGGTATAATATTTTACCCATGATTCTTTGGCCTTCGAAATAAAAGCTACATTTAACTTAAAAACCCTTTTTATACCCGACATTTAAAGTGTTGGGTTAATAAGTGCTTCAGGATATATCAATATGTGAGTATCAGGATATGTGTTATACAAATATTTTTATACTTTGCTTTTAATATTTGGACATCTAGTCTTCCATCAAATATTGGTCAACACCCCCCTATGTTGAGACTTCCATTGCCTGCACGCGCTTAAGCACCCATCCTTACAGTTCGTCCCACGATTCAGGCGACCGGTTCCAATTGGGCCACCACCAGGGTTTAAATTTTCCACACTAAAACCACCAATCACTTTCCTAGACGCTCGGTATCTCTGATCATCCTTTGTACCTCTATGGCTACGTATCCTGACGTGATCAGTCAAGTTTCGGGCCCTCCTCTTTGATCGTAGGTTATCCTGGAAACCTCACTTACCCCTCTTGAAAGCAAATTGTAAACAGCCGGCTGAACCTCTAAAACCCTTGCTATTTTTCTTGGGGAGCTGATCGTCAAACCCCTCCTCACCTTACATTCCACCCTTATTTTATCGAAACTTGATTATGGTGACCAGATCTATTCAGCGGCATCCTGCTTATCTCCCCAAAGCCTTAACCCCAATCATCACCAAGGATTACGTTTATGCCTTGTGTTTTTCCTTTTTCCCCTGTCGAAAGCCTCTAGCAGAAGCAAACGTTCCTCCTTACCCGATCCCGTGATGCCCTTCCTGCGCTACTATGTACGCTTCATGATCTCCGCAATCCTTCCATTTATAGAATGGTCACTGATATTAGTAGACATTCTTTATTTTTTTCGCCGCCCCTGCTTAACTCCGTCCCTTCTCTCTTCGCCTTCATTCGCTCTTGTCTTCTCTTCAACTACCACTTCTATGTACATGTAGCATCACACTTTTCCCTACCCCCTGGGAAGTTTCCAGCTGTTCGAGTCTGTTTTTTTCCCTCCCTGCTCGAAAGCCCCAACTGTCTACGGTCGCTTCCCGCTCTCTTTTCCTTGACCACTTTCACTCTCATTCTCATGCCATGCTGTGTACACAGATGGCTCTAAGTCTTCTGACGGCGTAGGATTCGCAGCAGTGTTTCCGGACAGCGTCCGTACAAGGGCATTATACTATCTTCAGCTAGTATTTTTACTGCTGAATTATATGCCATCCTTACAGCACTTATCCGTATTGCATCTATGCCTGTGTCATCATTTGGGGTTGTCTCAGACTCCCTTAGTGCTTTACAGGCTATACAAAAATTTTGATACACCTCACCCCTTAGTCCTCCGTATCAACTTTGGCTACGCCGCATCTTTACTAAGCATAAAGATATTGTTTTTTGTTGGGTCCCTGGTCTGTTGACGTACAGGGCAATGAACAGGCAGACACTGCTGCGCGGTCAGCAGTACATGACCTACCAGTTTCTTATAGAGGTACTCCATGTACGGACTATTTTGCTGTAATATCTTCCCACCTTCACACCCGTGGCAACAACGTTGGTCTACTATGCTCGGCAACAAACTTCAGTCTATTAAACCGAGTATAGGTTACTGGCCGTCTTCTTATCACCAGTGTCGTGGTTGGGAGACTACTCTCTCCCGTCTTCGCATTGGCCATACTCGTCTTACTCATGGATATCTCATGGAGAGGCGTCTTGCTCCTCTCTGTGAGAATTGCCAAGCTCCATTATAAAGTCAGCCTCATTCTGTTGGACTGCCCACTTTATCAACGAGCACGCAGAATTTACCTCTGTCGTCGTCTTCGCCCGCTGCTCTCTCTTTAACCTTCCCTTCTCGCTGATGGACCCACCTTTCATCCGGACTCTCTCATTGACTTTTTGACAACGACTGACTTACTCCACAAATTTTGATACTTTCAGCCCTTTCTACTTGTATCTCTTGCTACCCTCTACCCCCGTACTATCCCCTGCCCGCTGTTTTCTGTACCCTGCTGATCATCCCCCCTCCCTTTCTGCCATCCAATTCCCTTGCTTCCTTCCCTACCCTGCAGCGCTGTATAGCCCTTGTGGCTTAGCGCTTCTTTTTGATTATAATAATAATATATATATATTACCCAACAAAATCTGTTTTGACAAATTTTCTTTTTCAACTGTTTTTGTAAATTATTAGAGATCAGTAAATATAGTGAAATTAATGTTATGATTTTCTTAATTGTACAGACAGTTATGATCTTACGAGAGGTTCGTGGTCACTGGGTGTTCCAACTGAGTTGTATCTGGATTCACTCTCTACTTCGGAATACGACGATACAAACAACATTCATACTCCGATGACTGATAATGATTCTTCCATAACACAGAAGCATACATCTCTCTGGTCAAGTATAGACTGGTCTTTCTTATATGGGCGAGAGCCTCTGCCACGACACTCCATGGGTGTCCTGGTGGTAGGACCACCTCACTGGGTGTGTATGGCTGCTAAACAGGTAAGGCTTCATAAATTTTTCGATCATTTTAATAATATTAGCGAAAAATAATGCAAACAAAAGAAGAAAGGCGGTAAATGGTATTTTTTTTTAGAGGCAAAGCATGTATGGGCGACATACTTGTAACCCATCTACGACCTACTTGCATAACGCTGTTAGTTTTATATTAGAATTTAACGTTCAACTACAACGATTCCAGTCTCGGCGTATGTTCATCTGAACACTCCCTTCAGTCCTTATTTCTTTAGTTAATTTTTAATTTCTTTCGTAAATTGTGAAACAGATTATCTTATAAAAGAGATAACCATAATACGTTTATTGGGTATAAATTACAGTCTTGTAATATGTTATCATGTAGGATTTTTCCAGTTGTAATCAATATTCATATACGTGAAATGTTCAATGAAATCTGCAAATAAAACGTAATCATTTATCCAGAATTATGAAATACATATTAATACATATGAAACACACAATAATCTTTCCATCTTAAAAGGAAAATATATTGATATTGTTTATTCATTTTAAAAAGTTACTAATTATAAATTGGTATTTAGTTTGCTATGAGTTTTCTGTGGCTGCGTTCACTGCTGGTGTATTTTTTGTTTCCTCTCTACCTCCCGCCCCTACATGGACGTTACTGCTTCCACCAGTATTTACTGACAATGTGTCTTGACTCACGAAATTGTAATGACACGATTACGAACAAACCATACCACGGGCGGGGCTTGAACCCGCAGTAGAGAGTTAACTTCTGGTCACAATGGTGAGCATGTAAACCTTCCTATGGTGTATAAATATACCTTGATGGATGAATCTTATTGTAGCCAGCTGGCCCAGTGGCTAACGTGTCGTTCTGGAGTTTTACGACTCAGTATTGCGGGTTCAAGCTCCGCCCGTGGTACAGTTTTTTTCATTAGGTTACTGTGGAATCCAGTCCTAACAATAAATCAGCAAACTTACCTTTAGTTAACCGGTGAGAACATTTCCTTAATCCGTTACAAGTTCTTCGGGTCACACACACAACTCTTTCAGATGATAAAACATAGCTTTAGGCACAATGGAAATAAGTCACTCTGTCTGACTTCTTTGGGTTATCCCAGGTTCTCTACACATATGTTGCTATGTACGAAATTCTGTGTAACTGTATTTGTGTGTACCTGAATAAACTTACTTGTCTTGTGTGCACATGAATGCTTGGATTATAATTAAAAGTTCGTCAAAAGAATTATCATAGGCAGAGATATCGTCTAAATAATTTCTCAGTCATTACAGTTTGCTTAAGCGTCAGAGTGCGTCTTACACTGTGACTGTGAATAACTTGAATGGTAGTACTTAGTCATAACATAACTCGTCATATAGTGATATTTTTAGTTTTCTCTCGGAAGTTGTGCTTGGTAATATGCTTGTTTCCTGGCCAAGCTGACATTATTTTTTTCCAGCTATCTCATCTTGTTCGTTGCAAAGGATTGATATATATCTTACCCGAAGATAATCAGTAAATAGACAGATTTTTTTCCTGTCTTCCTTATAATTAAAACAACTGAGGTAAGTAGCAGTTGAATTCTCAGTGACTCTCTTCTTCAGTATTTCTTCAGTTAACTCCTGGATGGTTTTCTTCATATATTCATTATGTCGGTATTTTGACATGAACCATTTCAAGACGAGTCATAAGATAAACATACCGGATGCACACATTCATATCTAATTCACTAGCATCAAAAAAAAAAAAAAGCTGATCAGATATAAACAATGGATGCAGTTATTCCACTCCAAATGATTCAACAAATTCATATTCATATCTTGCAATTCTAAAATAATCTAATTATTTTATTCAGGTTTCCTGGGCATGATCAATATATGGAAATGTGATATTATCTAATAAAAGTCCATTTACACAGTTTCTCACTATTAGCTCAGCATATTGTAAATTTGAAAATATCTACACACGTGACAATTTCGATATTGCGACCGATGAAGTATCCAGAAATGGGAGGTACATTAACGAATATTCAGAGGATATCGCATTAGACGATTTGAAATGTCGCCTTCAGTTGTGTAATCAGAAACAAACACTGGTATTCTACACTTTCCTCCTGATGTGGTGTCAACAAACCAATATGAACTCTGAGTCTCAATTTGATTTTATGATTAGTAAAATTAATTGTCCATTCTTCTATAGAAATTTCAGAAAAACTATGAATAAATCGTGAAAGATTTTTGACGCTGAACTTCCCATTTATTATGAGCAATGTTATTCTTAATCAATTAAATTTTTCTCATTTTATTACATATTTGAAAATAATCCTGTGTCCCAATACCTTTCAGGAACAGCAATTAAATGGCTAAGTGAAGTGATCATCACACAGGACCTTGATGAATCTCGGCAACTTATATGTTAAATCAGCGACCTTCTTAAGAATGCAACGTTGTATTACATATTTTAATGTGATGATCCTCTTTGCCCACTATGTTTTATATTCTATATGAAACAACTCATGAAACTGCCTATATTTATAACGTTATTAACACAATAATTCTCAGGATGACGCTTGAAAACAAGTGAAGGAGAAATTTTCAACTTTCTTGTTATGATTTGCTTGTGACTGAGACGGTTTAGCAATAATGAACTTAGGCAAAGTAGAACAGAGTCGCTACATATACTCGTATATTTTAAAACAAATCATGAAATTATTTGTCTTCGTTATAACTTAATAAGGACAGCAAGAATGGTTTAGGAAGACCTGTTATAGGACAGAGTATAAGAGGGATAGAAAGAAGATGGAGGACTGGTGTAGGATAGAGAATAAGAGGGATGGAAAGAGTGAGGAGGAACAAAGACTAGGATAGGAAAAACCAATGAGAGTTGTTATTGTAGAAAGAAAGAGATAGGTAATAAGGTTGTGTCCTGACCACTTTCACTGCCATATAATAATAATATTTTTTTACCTAGTGATTCGTATAGGAAAAGATTTACAATATCTAGTTACAAAAAACTTTATAATTAATCATGAAATATTTCTTTACTTTCAGCTTCTCTCTAGAAAAGTATTTGGAAGTGTAAGTATTGACTTATTTTAAAGTGTAAGTATTAACTTGTATGAAAATTTAACGATTTTATATGCTATGAATTTGGAATTTTAAGTGTTCTTGTAAACAAGTAAAACAACAACATTGAGAATACTGCTAAACAAATTTAGTAAATAAACTTCAGTTTTAAATCTACTGATCAAAGTTTTTCATCAACACTTGGTTCCCACCATATAAATTATAATATTTGGTTCCCACCATATAAATTATAATATTTGGTTCCCACCATATAAATTATAATATTTGGTTCCCACCATATAAATTATAATATTTGGTTCCCACCATATAAATTATAATATTTGGTTCCCACCATATAAATTATAATATTTGGTTCCCACCATATAAATTATATATTTTGGTTCCCACCATATAAATTATAATATTTGGTTCCCACCATATAAATTATATAAAATTATAATACTTGGTTCCCACCATATAAATTATAATATTTGGTTCCCACCATATAAATTATAATACTTGGTTCCCACCATATAAATTATAATATTTGGTTCCCACCATATAAATTATAATACTCGGTTCCCACCATATAAATTATAGTATTTGGTTCCCACCATATAAATTATAATACTTGGTTCCCACCATATAAATTATAATACTCGGTTCCCACCATATAAATTATAATATTAGGTTCCCACCATATAAATTATAATACTTGGTTCCCACCATATAAATTATAATATTTGGTTCCCACCATATAAATCATAATAATTGGTTCCCACCATATAAATTATAATACTTGGTTCCCACCATATAAATTATAATACTTGGTTCCCACCATATAAATTATAATATTTGGTTCCCACCATATAAATTATAATACTTGGTTCCCACCATATAAATTATAATATTTGGTTCCCACCATATAAATTATAATTGGTTCCCACCATATAAATTATATTTGGTTCCCACCATATAATTATAATATTTGGTTCCCACCATATAAATTATAATATTTGGTTCCACCATTAAATTATAATATTTGGTTCCCACCATATAAATTATAATATTTGGTTCCCACCATATATAATTATAATACTTGGTTCCCACCATATAAATTATAATATTTGGTTCCCACCATATAAATTATAATATTTGGTTCCCACCATATAAATTATAATATTTGGTTCCCACCATATAAATTATAATACTTGGTTCCCACCATATAAATTATACTCGGTTCCCACCATATAAATTATAATATTTGGTTCCCACCATATAAATTATAATACTCGGTTCCCACCATATAAATTATAATACTTGATTCCTACCATATAAATTATAATACTTGGTTCCCACCATATAAATTATAATACTTGGTTCCCACCATATAAATTATAATACTTGGTTCCCACCATATAAATTATAATACTCGGTTCCCACCATATAAATTATAATATTTGGTTCCCACCATATAAATTATAATACTTGGTTCCCACCATATAAATTATAATATTTGGTTCCCACCATATAAATTATAATACTTGGTTCCCACCATATAAATTATAATATTTGGTTCCCACCATATAATTATAATACTTGGTTCCCACCATATAAATTATAATATTTGGTTCCCACCATATAAATTATAATACTTGGTTCCCACCATATAAATTATAATACTTGGTTTCCCCACCATATAAATTATAATACTCGGTTCCCACCATATAAATTATAATACTTGGTTCCCACCATATAAATTATAATATTTGGTTCCCACCATATAAATTATAATACTTGGTTCCCACCATATAAATTATAATATTTGGTTCCCACCATATAAATTTAATACTTGGTTCCCACCATATAAATTATAATATTGGTTCCCACCATATAAATTATAATACTTGGTTCCCACCATATAAATTATAATATTTGGTTCCCACCATATAAATTATAATACTTGGTTCCCACCATATAAATTATAATATTTGGTTCCCACCATATAAATTATAATACTTCGTTCCCACCATATAAATTATAATACTTCGTTCCCACCATATAAATTATAATATTTGGTTCCCACCATATAAATTATAATATTTGGTTCCCAGCATATAAATTATAATACTCGGTTCCCACCATATAAATTATAATATTTGGTTCCCATCATATAAATTATAATACTCGGTTCCCACCATATAAATTATAAAACTCGGTTCCCACCACATAAATTGTAATACTTGGTTCCCACCATATAAATTATAATACTTGGTTCCCACCATATAAATTATAATAATCGGTTCCCACCACATAAATTGTAATACTTGGTTCCCACCATATAAATTGTAATACTTGGTTCCCACCATATAAATTATAATACTTGGTTCCCACCATATAAATTATAATACTCGGTTCCCACCATATAAATTATATTTGGTTCCCATCATATAAATTATAATACTCGGTTCCCACCATATAAATTATAATACTCGGTTCCCACCACATAAATTGTAATACTTGGTTCCCACCATATAAATTATAATACTTGGTTCCAACCATATAAATTATAATACTTGGTTCCCACCATATAAATTATAATAAAATTCGTTTCAGAACATATTATTTTTTCATAATTTTTCACTTTTATTAACCTTGTTCTTGTAAATCTTTGCTTCTCTATTCTCAAACCTAGTTTTCTAAGGTTCTTTTGGTACAACATTATTAATTTTTACATTAACATAATGAAAAAATATATCTTTAAACGTATAAGAGAAAGTTTTAGAAAGGACTTAATTTTAAATGAGTTCTTGCTAATTGATCAGTTTTACCTATTCGGCACGACATATATATATATATATATATATATATATATATATATTATATATATATATATATATATATATATATATATATATATATATATATATATTTTTATAGGGAAGTACCACCTCTATAGCTGGAATGGGGACCCTCATCCTCAGAGAAGACAATAAACGTACCTCAGGGAAAACTCAAGGTTCTCCCCGGAGCTGTTTAAATATTTTCTTCTCCTACCACCCCCTATATTTTATATTCTATGTGAACCTTTATTAATAAACAGAATACATTTACAGAAAAACATAAACATGAATACAATGGCACAATGTATCAAAGATCATGAATTTCCTCCAGCTCCTCCGAGGCCGGACGTGAGCCAAGTATGCAGCAAGCATTTCCCCTTTGGATGGCCATGCTGAGGCACTGGAACATGAAAGTGGCTGCCCTTGAGTCCCTGGTGGTGTCGATGAGTCTGGAACCCGATTCTTTAAGGAAACGTGTGGCAATTTTTCCCCATGATCCCAAGGTCTCTGATCCCGCTGGGACAAATTGATACTGTTGGCTTATGTCCCTGTACTTGCTGATCTTGTACTCCTCCCTGTGGTCAGCAGCTCCTCCCTGTCACCCCACATTGTGATGGATATAGGTGTCAGCCAGTGTGGACACACAGGTATAATCCCATGCTAAGAGCTTGCCATTCTTCCAAGGATAGATGGTGATCCCGTCGGGGCGGTTTGCTGGGTTGTGGGTATTGTTGGCTGCTAGTGATCGGGGCCCCCTCTCAGCTGGGTATCCAGCTATAGCAAGTGTTCTCTTAATGATGTCGTTGACCTCATTGTGTCTTACATGCCAGCCCTTGGTTTTGGAACAGTTAAGACCATGTAGACCGTATTGGTCTGCTTGCGCTTCGCCGCAAATACACGTATATTCTGTGTGAATTGGGGCAGCAAGGTGCAGAGCCACTGCAATACGGAGGGTCTTAGGGTCGAGTCGCGTTCCCATTGCCGATATGGGAACTGTTTGGAGGAAGTCCCCGGAGTAAGGTGTGATCACAGCCTGGAGACGGGCAGTCTCCCTATCTGATGTTGCAGCCCTGAGCATGTTGGCAACCACCTTTTCAGCGATCGGGCCATCCCAGCTTGACTGTGAGCCAGTGCAGCACTAGGGTTTGGTGCTGGAGCAGCAAGAGTCTCCCATTCAGTGATGGCACTGGTATAGCTAGGGCCTTCTATTCCTGCTGAGTCACTGAGGGTATCAGGAAGAATTTGACTTATCAACTCGTTTGATGCTATGGAAGAGGATAGGAAAGCTGGTAGAGCAATCTGGGAGGATCTGCGTACTCCCAGCCCTCCAAGCCTGACCGGAAGTGAGGCTTGCAACCACTGTCCATCTTCAAGGGAAATATTCATTACACTTTCTAGCATGGTCTTAAGGAGAGAGTCATATTCCTTGAGTTTTGGACTGCTGAAGACAGAATTGTAATATTGGGTCAGCTCAATATTAGATATATGTTACTTAAGCACATTTACAGATGGACACACTGATGCTGGCTCCAGTGGATGGAAATATCTTGGCCCGAGATTTGTGCCCGAGCATCCCACTCGCTGTACATGTGATCCTTCTTGAGGAGCCACATGATAAGGTATGATCACATTGTGAATTAACATTGTTCTTTGTAACTTTGTAATGCAAAAGTTACCTTAAATTTTTAATGAAACATTTGTGTTATTGGCACATATTTTTTTCCTGGCACTAACTCAGTTAATTGTTATGAAGGAAGGTACAAGAAGATGTAAGGGATTATTGAGAGAGGCAACACTAGCTGATGGTGGTAGCTATGTGTTGCGTACTGTTGGATGTTTGCAACAAGGAAGGCTTCTTCTGACAACTTCTCTCCTTCGCCCTGTAACCTCTCTCAAAGGTGGTCTGATAAAAGTTTTTTATGCGAAGGTAAGAATACACACACCACACACACACACACACACACACACACATATTATAATATATTATATATATATATTATATATTATATATATATATATATATATATATATATATATATTATATATATATATATATATTATACTGTGCTTTTGGGGGATTCTAAAAGAAAAGTTGCAAAGGTTAGTGGACGAGTTTGGGAGGTTGAGTTAAATGTAATAATTTTGAAAATGAATAACATAGATAATAGTTAAAGTGATGAAGGGTTATCAAGCGTATTTTGATAAAGAAACATTGGATTGGAGTGAGGGAGTATGGAAGAAGTGAATATTTTCTGATATTTGGGAGTTGACTTGTCAGCGGATGGATTTATGAAGGATGGGGTTAATCACAGAACTGATGAAGGAAAAAAGGTGAGTGATGCTTTGAGGTATATGTGGAGACTAAAAACGTTATACAGGCGAAGAAGGGAATGTACGAGAGTATAGTGGTACCAACACCCTTGTATGGGTGTGAAGCTTCAGTTGTAAATGCTGCAGCGAGGAGGCGGCTGCAAATACTGGAGATGTTCTGTCTAAGAGCAATGTGTGGTGTAAATATTATGCAGAAAATTTGTAGTGTGGAAATTACGAGAAGATGTGGAGTTAATAAAAGTATTAGTCAGAGGGCTGAAGAATGGCTATTGAGGTGGTTTGGTCATTTAGAGAGAATTGAACAAAGTAGAATGACATGGAGAGCGTGCGTATGTTAGATAGTGAATGAAGACAAATGGTTTTTGGGACCTGACGAGCTGTTGGAGTGTGAGCTGGGCAATATTTTGCGAAGGGATTCAGGGAAACTGGTTAGCTGGACTTGAGTCCTGGAAATGGGAGGAACGATGCCTGCACTTCAGAGGAGGGGTTTGGGATATTGTCAGTTTGGAGGGACGTCTAAGCTGTCGTATTTGATGGTGAAAGTGATGATGATGAACGTGTTTCCTTTGCGGGATTTTCTTTCTTTTTGTATTAATATAAATGTAATGTTTTGTTAGTATTTACGACTGTATTTAGAACAATCAGATTTAGAATAGAACAGAACTTTAAATCATATTATTCTCATCCAGCTTTTAAAATGGACTGTAGGAAAGAAGTGAACTGGAATTTTTGATCCCATGACGACATTGAGCCTCTGGAACTGAAATGGGGCAGCCTGTATGTTTCCGAATGTGACAATGCACATGGAACAGGAAATCGAACTGAGGTCCTGAAAGTAGCAGGTCCTACATTCAACCATTCACTACAAGAGCAATTGTCTGGCAAGAGTTGCTGCAATTTCTTCAATAACTTCAACCTCAACTCTACTGCTGCTGCTCTCAGACTCAGTAGTTCTCTGGAACTTGTTTACCTTTCTCAGATAGATAATCAATGCATCCTGTTAAATTCGGAGTGATTGTCTATGGATATAGCAAATAATGTACATGAGATAGCATTATAGCTATACAAAGCAGCGTGTGGGTCTACCATTTACTTTCCCTCGGTTCACTAGAATCACCATTTAGCTATATTTGCCTCTCTTTACTTTTAGATCTGTAATATTAATATTTCATAGAATCAAAGCATAAGGTAATTATTTAGATGCTGTTTAATCTGTTAACTAATCTTTCCTAAGTGAGCTTAGATTATTTTTGGCGGCATCAAACTTTAAAAAATGAATTTATTAGAAACTGCTAAAATTTACTCATTTAAATTATTATTAGTTCAATCATAACTAAGCACCAAACTTACAAGGGTTGTACAGCGCTGCAACGCTGGGTGTGCTGAAGGTGAAATATGCCTGATCAGAGACCAGCGAGGTTGAAGAGTATGCCAGAGGTAGAGTTAGTAAGAGAGGCAAGTAGTGCTAAAGGGAAATGTAATCAAAGTCGTTTTAATAAAGCATTGCTGACAAAAAAGCATAGAGGGATTGTGTCAAAGTTGCGGCTGTCAGCGAGGAGGGAAGATACAGTAAGGGTGTTAGGCAGGTGACGACGACAATGGTAAATTCCGCGTGATCGCTGGTAAACAGGATAGTCTATAAGGATGTAGCAGACTGAAAATAGAACTCAACAATTCTCACAGAGTGGTGCGGGCGCTTCTCCATGAGACATACCCATGAGTGAGACCTGTGTGTCCCATACGAAGGCACGAGAATGTAGGCTCCCAAACTTGACGGCTATGATATGAAGACCAGAAACCTATACACGGCTTGCTAGAATGTAACTTATTATGAATCAACTTAGTCCAACGTCCGTGCCAACGGTTGTGAAGGCGTCTAGAGATTACAGCAAAACAGCCCGAGAATGGAATACTCCTATATGAAACGTGGTTATGTACGGCTGTACATGTACGGCTGTACATGTGCGGCTGTACATGAATGGCTGTACATGACAGCGCCAGAGTCCACCTGCTCCTTGCCCCGAACACCCTCATAACCAGGAACCCAACACAAAATGATGTCTTTTGCTAAAAATGTGGCGCAACCAAAGTTGTATATGAAGAACTAGGGAATGATTAGACTAACTTTTAGATAGCTTACAAAGCACTAAAGGAATCTGAAACTTCTACTAATATTGAGGTAAACAGTACATATGCAATATGTATGAAAGCAATGAAATTGCATAAAACTCAGTGAGAAAGAATAGCGGAATCTAATAAATGACCTCGCAGAACACTGTCCGGAAACTCTGCTGCAAACACAACACCATCAGAGGATTTAGAACCATCAGTGTAAGCTGCAGTGGCATGAGAATAAGATCAAAAGTGGTTAAGGAAAAGAGAGCGTGAAGCTACTGAAGATATTAAAACTGTCGTGCATGGCAATAGGGAAGAACAGACAAATCGTCGGAACTTCCCAAGGAATAAGAGAAAAGTTAGATGCCGGGAAACAAATAAATGGGGTAAATGAAGAGAAGCCAAGAGAGAGTGAATAATAAGAGAAAATTGACGGAGTAAACAGGGGCGGCGATCAAACGATTAGCTTCTACTAACGTCCGTTACCAGCTTGCATGTAGAAGGATCGGGAAAGTCATGAGAGCGGACAAAATATCGGAGACAGTGAGGATGACACGATCGGTGTCATATATGCAACATTTAATTTTGCATATAGGCGCTCGTCAGGGGATGAACGAAAAGCACCTTGACACAATGTAATCCTTGATGCTGAATTGGATCAAGTTAATTCAGAGTTGCGGGAGAGAACGCAGAATGTGTCTGGTCGCAGTAATCTAGTTTCTATAGAATTAGGGCAGAGTGAAGACAAGAATTCATCGATCTGCCCCCAAGACAGATGAGAGAGGGTTTTAAGGAGGTTCAGCCGGCTACTGCAAGTTGCTCTCAGGGAAGTAGTGTGATGTTTTCAGGACATCTGGCAATGAAACAGAAGGCCGAGAAACCTGACCGTATCTCGTTCAGGGATACATAAACCATACAGGTATTATAGGGCATCGAGACAACAGAGCGTCTAGTAAAAGTAATCTGATGTGTTTTAATACCAGAAAATTTAAACCCACGAGTAGTGACCCAATTAGAAACACGGTTGATAGCAATTAGGTAACTGTTAGCTCCAGCGCGCGTTCTATCAAAATCATCGACATAAAGTAACGATCAAATATTAGATGGGAGAACCGAGACATAGTCAGGGAAAAGTATATTATTAACCCAGACACAGAAATGTTTCTCAGACAAGAAATTTTTAAGGAAAAATATCTTAAGGAATGAGTTTGGTCCAAGATGTCATATCGCCATATTGTGTCGTACATTGTTTCAAGATCGGAAAATATTGTGATAACCGAGCGGTTAATAGCAGTGGCATTACGAAGGTAGGTATCTCAAGGGAGTAAGGGGCCAATAATGGGTCGGCCCTTACGATAACCAAATTCACGAGAAGAAAAACTATTATGCGACTCCGAATACCGTACTAAACGTCTATTTACTAGACGTTCCAACAACTTGCATAATGCATTAGCAAGCGCAATAAATCGATAGTGGGAGACATCATAGTCCGAAGTATCCGATACATGAAATGGCAGAACAATGGTAGTTTTTCTTGGACGAGGAAGAACCCTTTGCGACCATGTGGAGAAATTTTCTCCAGGAGGGGGGTATCAGCCCCCTTCAGCCCCTTCAGCCCCTTTCAGCCCTGAGGGGCCCAGCCCTCTCAGAAGGGGCGTCTTGTTTACTGCTACAGTGAGTAATTGATCACAGATGCCGTACGAGTATCTGACGTGGTCAAGTGACCGATGCTCCTTGCAGTCCAGTGTTGCAAAGTGTATTTTAATAAGTGGCAGTACATCTCTTACTTTAGCAGGAAAATTAAGGAAAATCCTGCTCCCACTTTATTACCATGGTAAAGAGAGTGGACATTGTTGTCAATGATTAAGACAGCAAGAATCAAACATTCTGCTTTGCTTCATCGAGGAAGTGGCAAGGAAGCAAAAAGTACTATGTCAGCTTTTTTTTTGTGCTGGGGCAGTGACGGCATGGGGCGTTGTGGCGTCTTCAGATTACTTTTGACTCTACTGAGAGTGACACTGACGCCAGGATAAACAACAAAGAACAACGATCTGTGCGTTAGTGTGAACAAAGTGTCTCACATAACACAATAAACACTTAAGAGAAGTGTGATCAGCTTCTCTTGTGATAAGATTGTGAACAATAAAGACAAATCTTGTGGAACATAGTGTACCAGTGTGCGTTTCCTAGACAATGGAAGACGTGGACATCCAAGGACACTTCAGCTTCTATCAAGTCACCGATACCTGTCGAAGGTGTGAAGAACACCATAGCTCACGTTACAAGAGCAAGGTATGTTACGAATTTCTTGTGGTACGGGGGACTGCGCAGTTCTTGAGTCGCAAGGAGTTTGTAATCAGCCTATAGTCGGCAGTAAGGTGTGGACTTTTGAGTCCAAACAAGTAAGTTGTCAGCCATCAGTGAATGAAATATGCTGACATAACACCCCCTAGGGGTAATTTATAATCTTACAAATTATAAATCTTTACAGCCCGTTGAAAGATGGTTTCGACAGCTTCTAGACCTCGTCTGCAGGGGCCGCTGTGTAGACGATTTGCTGTCTTTTATCAGCTAAGTGTTCACTATATTTATATTTATAAATTAAGCTTAGCTGGTAAGGCCATTTCTCAACAGACCAAACAAGATTAAAGAGACGTAAGAGTATTAGGGCCATCGGAAGTAAATGTTGAAGCAGACAAATATGAATACCTTCAAGTCCAGCTGGCGACGATTAACGAGCAAAAAGTCTCGAGTCAAGTTCAATAAGCGCAAAAGGCATATTATAAGACACTTCTATACCAGAAGAAAAATCTAAAGACGTTAACTCTCTGACAGATTTGGAGGAAAGAAACGAGGGATACAGATGGAGCCCCTGAGGCATATGGACAAGATGACTTCCAATTGATGTGGCAACTTCAGGAAGGTTTGCAGCGTTAACACTGGCTACCCTAAGAACGGGAGCCGAGTCTGGAGAGTACATGCGACTCAGTTTCAGTACATTTTTCCAAACTGCTCTCATAGAGGAATTGAAAGTGATGGTAGAATCATAACCCGGCAATAAGTACGTTTCGCTTCACGGATTACGTCTTGCAAGCGTCCTCGTACGTTTAAAAATAAAGGAGCCGCTCTTTGACGTTGTTTTAACGATAGTCTTCAGGCAGCACCCTTCAACACAATGCATGAACACAAGTTGGAAACCACCAAGGTACGTATTTCTGAGAGTGTCTAACCGAGGTTTGCGGGACTAAATTTGAAGTTGCGGTTAAGACAGAGGTCGTAAATAATTGTGAAAACTCATCGAAGGAGGAAAAAGGAGAAGGTTCCTCACAAAATAGTTTAACTCGAGTAAAGAGAAGATTTCGCACTTTCAAACTGCCAACGTGGGCTGTGTGGAGGTCGAACATATGTATGGGAAAGAGGATAGGAAAATGTCTCTGTTATGTAAATCTGGGACACAGACCAGGTACAGAGGAGCAAGTAGAGAAATCTATGCAAGAGAGAATTTGAGTGCGAGGGTCAAAATTTCTAACTGATTTCCAAGAAAGAGTCGCAGTGAGATTCTCCCAAGAGAAAAGGATGAGCGTTAAGTCACTTGATACAGTAGTGTGCCTCTTAATTGGGACACTGATGAAATAAGACATTTATTTTGAAAATCAATATATATTTGAAAAAATACACGGCAGTAGTATGACAAATAATTAATTGATTTAATAAGAGATATGACAACCCATTGCTTTTATAAGTATTGCTACATGCTTTGGCATAGAATCAACTAGTGTTGAACACATTTTGGGAATATCATCGTAGTTCCAGGTTCTAATAACAGCAGCAGTTATCTTCCCCAGAGTTGAACAGTCCTCCAGGCAAATTTAAAACGTTTAGTCCACTCTCTTCGAAGAATGTCAGCATTTTTCTGGAAGTGTGGCATGGAGCAAGATCCTGCTGGAAAATGCATTCTCCACAGTGGGAAGCAAATGAGTTGCTAGGATTGCCTTTTATTTGCCACTGTTCATAGTTCCTTCAACAATAACAAGCAGTCCAGGGGCTTTAGCAGAAAACATCTTAGGTGCGTGTTTTGACGCTCGTTGAATGTGTTGATTCCAAAAAGACTCTCCTTCGTTCCGTCTCATTACCACTGTTCTGTACCTACTCATTTGTTGTCCATCCCTTATGATCGTGTGCCCACGGCAGCCTTTTTTTTTTTTTTTTTTTTTTTTTTTTGGCAGTTCTGCCAACTTCAAGGCGCCTTCGTGGAACAGTTGAAGAAACATCATTTTCTCCAGCTGAAGTTAAATCTCACTGTAGATCTTCGATGGTTTTTCATGGGACTTTTCACACTCTTATGATGACTTTGTTTTCATGAGAAGAAACCAGAAAAGCAACATCAGGAATAGATAATGGTTAAGAAGGAGAAAGATACAAAGAGCAGATTGTATGTTATTTGTTCAAGTAGATACGGGACGCAGTGTAATGCAGTGAAGTGTGAACAACGAACCAAGAATGTGGTATATCGGCGAGCACAAGAAGTGCATTTTCATTAAACTTTCCATCGGAAAGAAAATCGGGCGAGTGCAGTAAGAACACCTTGAGTCAAGACGGGTAACAGCGGAGAGCAAAAAAAAAAAAAAAAAAAAAAAAAGAGAGAGCAATTGTTGAATATTCCACTGTAAGTAAGTTATGTATAATAGCAACATTACGGACCAGAAGGGCCAGTAAAGTCTACATATGGAGGTAGAGGAATATCAGTAAGGAGCGAAGGTCTGGAAAACTGAGGAAGTGTTGAGTATGGTGAGAATGTGAAGGGGTGGGTTGGGGGGGGAGGTACAGCGGTGTCCATCACTGGTTTTATCTCCTCGATAAACGTGGAGATAACTTACTGTGTTTCAGATAACAGAGAAGCTGCAGGAATCATGGTGTCGCAGGGGAGTGATGCAAGTTGAGAAATAAATATATAGAACGGATGATCATTTAAAGCATTTACTTTTGTGAAATGTAAAATAATTTACTGTAAATTTTGAATTATAAGTTAAAAGTCTGTTATAGGTGTGGGATGAAATGCTGGAAGGGACGTTGGAGACTTTTATGAGGAAGCTTAACTTCACTGTTGAAGTTAGTGGGAATGTTGGTGCTATGGATAAGATGCCCAATGGTACGTTTAAAGGCGCAATGGGATTAATTCAACGTAAGGTAAGTTTATTATATAACTAAAGTGAAAAATGTTATTTTATAACATGAAATAATTAAATCATTTAAATTTGTATTCTATTTACAGTTAAAAGACAAAACTGAGTTTGTATTATCTTCGTTTCTTGCTTATGTGTACATATTGTATGTATCATTATGTGTACATATTGTATCATTATGTGTACATATTGTATGTATCATTATGTGTACATATTGTATGTATCATTATGTGTACATATTGTATGTATCATTATGTGTACATATTGTATGTATCATTATGTGTACATATTGTATGTATCATTATGTGTACATATTGTATGTATCATTATGTGTACATATTGTATGTATCATTATGTGTACATATTGTATGTATCATTATGTGTACATATTGTATGTATCATTATGTGTACATATTGTATGTATCATTATGTGTACATATTGTATCATTATGTGTACATATTGTATGTATCATTATGTGTACATATTGTATGTATCATTATGTGTACATATTGAATGTATCATTATGTGTACATATTGTATGTATCATTATGTGTACATATTGTATGTATCATTATGTGTACATATTGTATCATTAAAATATTGAGAAAAAAGATGATAAAAAATAAGACACATATGCAACACCTGGTAATCTTTATTCCAGTGGCTTTATTCCAGTGGCTTTATTCCAGTGGCTTTATTCCAGTGGCTTTATTCCAGTGGCTTTATTCCAGTGGCTTTATTCCAGTGGCTTTATTCCAGTGGCTTTATTCCAGTGGCTTTATTCCAGTGGCTTTATTCCAGTGGCTTTATTCCAGTGGCTTTATTCCAGTGGCTTTATTCCAGTGGCTTTATTCCAGTGGCTTTATTCATTACATAGTATACCGTTCCTTGATAATGTGAAAAATCACAACAGCGCTTAGAATTTCAAAATTTTTTCCCAGTGGTTGTTCTGCTTAGCATAAGTAATTTTGTATCAACTGGAAACAGTAAAAGCATGAAGTAATCAATCCTATATCCCTAGATAACTGTACAGTGAAGGTGGTCTCTCAGTGAAGGTGGTTTCTCAGTGAAGGTGGTCTCTCAGTGAAGGTGGTCTCTTAGTGAAGGTGGTCTCTCAGTGAAGGTGGTCTCTCAGTGAAGGTGGTCTCTCAGTGAAGGTGGTCCCTCAGTGAAGGTGGTCCCTCAGTGAAGGTGGTCCCTCAGTGAAGGTGGTATCTAAGTGAAGGTGGTCTCTTAGTGAAGGTGGTCTCTCAGTGAAGGTGGTCTCTCAGTGAAGGTGGTCTCTTAGTGAAGGTGGTCTCAGTGAAGGTGGTCTCTCATTGAAGGTGGTCTCTCAGTGAAGGTGGTCTCTCAGTGAAGGTGGTCTCTCAGTGAAGGTGGTCTCTCAGTGAAGGTGGTCTCTTAGTGAAGGTGGTCTCTCAGTGAAGGTGGTCTCTCAGTGAAGGTGGTCTCTCAGTGAAGGTGGTCTCTCAGTGAAGGTGGTCTCTCAGTGAAGGTGGTCTCTCAGTGAAGGTGGTCTCTCAGTGAAGGTGGTCTCTCAGTGAAGGTGGTCTCTCAGTGAAGGTGGTCTCTCAGCAGGTGTTAGTTTAATAAAGTTAAATGTTGGTTGCTAACATATTTCCATCCAGATATTATCGAAGTTAAGTGGTGTTGCGTAATTCATTACTTCGTAGAGTGGGTGATGGAGGAGGTCCAACCTGATGGAGTTCGGTGAAGGTGGCAGGTCCAACCTGATGGAGTTTGGTGAAGGAGGCAGGTCCAACCTGATGGAGTTTGGTGAAGGAGGCAGGTCCAACCTGATGGAGTTTGGTGAAGGAGGCAGGTCCAACCTGATGGAGTTTGGTGAAGGAGGCAGGTCCAACCTGATGGAGTTTGGTGAAGGAAGCACGTCCAACCTGATGGAGTTTGGTGAGGGAGGCAGGTCCAACCTGATGGAGCTTGGTGTGGGAGGCAGGTCCAACTTGATGGAGCTTAATGAGGGTGTTGGAGAGGGTATGTGTGTGTGTACTCACCTAGTTGTACTTACCTAATTGTGGTTGAAGGGGTCGAGACTCAGCTCCTGGCCCCGCCTCTTCACTACATCACTTGCTAGGCTATCTCACTTCCTGACGACTCTGTGACTGAAGAAATACTTCCTCACGTCACTGTAGCTCGTCTGAATCTTCAGCTTCCAATTATGACCCCCTTCTTTCTGTGTCCCCTCTTTGGAACATCCTGTCTCTGTCCACCTTATCTATTCCAGTATGGGCCTGACGTGCACGGTGTACAGTGTCTTGAACGATTACTTACTAAGGTATCGGAACGCTATTCTCAGGTTTGCCAGGCGCCCATATGCTGCAGCAGATATCTGATTGATGTGTGCCTCCGGAGACATGCTCGGTGTTATGGTCACCCCAAGATCTTTCTCCTTAAGTGAGGTTTGCAGTCTTTGTCCACCTAGCCTATTACAACCCAGGAGTCCCAAAGGCCTGTTATCCTGGGTGTAAAGGGAACAAAATAAATACAGCAGAAAAACTTTTTGACTTGTATTATCCTTCACCAATTTAGAACAGAAATATGTACACCATATACACTACAAAAATAGGTATTAGTGCACTCCACGGTAAGCAAGGCAGAATAGGAGTCACTAGAGAGCAGACCGTGCTTCAACCAGCTCTAGAATGGGAATGACAAGGGCAGACAGGTGAGTGGCACCCATATCACCTCTGCGATTGCCAAAACCATCTTCTCATTGGCTGGAACCTGGGTACTGATTGAACGACAGGGCCCCATCATCAACCCTTAGCTCCTGGTTCACTGGTTGGGGGAGACAGCCCTTCAATGAGGGTGTGTACATACCCTGAATAAAGGTTACGTAATCATTGCATGCCACACCCCCACCCGAGGGCTCAGGATTAGGATCCCACCTCCAGTGGTAACCGTGCCTCCATGGCACCAAATTATGGACCGCCTTATCTCTCAACCATCCAACTCTTAGATAGAGCTCAGCTTTATTCGCGACAAAAGCCAAACCCTAAACTCAGAGCGAGACAGCAGACATTCGGGCTAGCGTAGGTCCAAAGTGCGGTGGACGGTATCCCGCACCCCCTCACTAAAAAAAAAACCCACACCAGGGGATAAAAAAAAAAGCTTGAAAGGGGTTACCACAAGTAACCTAACACATCCTAACCTAATATACAATTATAATTATAGAGTATCATTGTTAGACTTGAGATAAAGAGTCTGCCAACTTATTTCCTTTGCCAGCAATGTGTAATATTCTGAGAGAATAGTGTTGCAGTCGAAGACTCCATCTCATGAAGCCACGTATTGTGGTTCTTCATGGCTTGGAGATATACTAGAGGGTTGTGATCACTGTAGACAGTGACCACCTGCAAAGTCTGGCCCATGTAAACATCGAAGTGCTCCAAAGTCAGTACCAGCGCAAGGGCTTCTTTTTCAATGGTAGAGTAAGCCCTCTGATGCGGCTGGAACTTGGCAGAGAAGAAGGCTACAGGCTGCAACTCCTTGTCCCCGTTTTGCAACAGTATTGCCCCAACCCCAGACTCACAAGCATCAACCTGTAATAAGAAAGATTTGGAGAAGTCTGGAGACAAAAGAATGGGTGCAGTACACAATAATCTTTTTGCTTTATCAAAAGCACCTTGACAATCTTGGGTCCAATTAAAGGGAACTTTGTAACTGGTAAGAGAGGTAAGAGGCGCTACAATATCTGAAAAATTCTTAGAGAATCTTCTGTAAAATCCTATCATGCCTAGGAAACGTTGAAGAGATTTCCTATCATGTGGAACTGGATAATCTTTAATGGCAAGAACTTTAGCAAATTTAGGAACAACTTTGCCACTACCTACTTCATGGCCTAGAAAAGTAACAGTGGCCTGGCCAAAGGAAGACTTAGATAAATTAACAGTTAAATGGGAACTCTGAAAGGTCTCAAAGAGAGCCTTAAGTCTAACTAGGTGTTGATCCCAAGTATCAGACACCACAACAATATCATCCAGGTACGCTGCCATGCCTTGAAGTCCTTTAATAGCCTGATTGATAAGTTTCTGGAATGAAGAGGGGGAGTTATTCATTCCAAAGAGGGTAACTGTATATTGATAATGACCTTTTGGAATTACGAAGGCAGAGATTTCCTTCGCCTTATCTGTCAAAGGTACCTGATAGTAACCTTTAAGGAGATCTAACTTGGACACAAAAGTACCCTTACCCACAAAGTCGATTACGTCATCCAGACGAGGAAGAGGGTAAGCATCTGTGATTGTGACCTCATTCACCTTACGGTAGTCTGTACACATACGAAACCCTCCATCAGCATTTTTAACAAGGATGCACGATGAAGCCCATGGACTAGATGACTCCTCCACTAACCCATGCTCTAACAGATATTCTACCTCCTGCTGAAGTAGCTTCTGCTTTTCAGGATTAGCTCTGTAGGGGGAGAGTTTAATAGGTTTAGAGTTTCCCACATCTACGTCATGATAACCTAGCGTACATTTTTTCGGCACATCCGAAAAAATATCACGGTATGACTGTAGAAGCGCAGTTAAACTTGTTGCTTGAGTTTCAGATAGCCCCACCATTAAAGGGCTAGGGTCCTTGAGGAGGACAGAGTTTGGAAGTTTGACATTAATTTCAGAAATAGAGTGCAAAGAATCAAAGTCGTCCTCAGAGGTAGAGGACAAAGTCATTACTGGGACTTTATCTGGTGTATGAAAAGATTTTAATTGATTAATGTAGTAAGTTTTAGTTTTTGAGGTCTTATCAAGTGGAGATATCACATAATTTACATCAGATAATTTACTTACAATTTGCATAGGTCCCGTAAATCTAGCTTTCAAGGTGTGGCCAGGTATAGGTTCCTGCACAAACACCTTGTCTCCTGGATGGAAGGAGCTGAATTGTGCATTTCTGTCATATCTCTGTTTCATCTTATTTTGAGCTGCCTTTAGGTTAGCCTTGGCTAACTGACGTGCCACCTGCAACCTTGAAGACGGGTTGTAGAGTGTTGAGCTAAAGTCTTCTCCCAGCCATCCTTCTTTGAGCACCCGAAGAGGACCTCGTACATTGTGCCCAAAGATCAGCTCAAACGGACTATACCCGGTAGACTCCTGCACAGTTTCTTTTACTGAAAACAGCAACAAAGGTAGTGATTCATCCCAGTCTGTAGGAAAATGCATGCAAAAAGTTCTCATCATGGCTTTTAACGTCTGATTTAATCTTTCCAAGGCGCCCTTGGGATGAGGATGATAGGCAGTTGATAAAGTTGTGGATTATCCCTAACCTAGCTAATGCTTCCCTGAATGCTTTGGCAGTGAAGTTAGTACCTTGATCACTTTGAATAGTTTCTAGGAATGCCAAAACAAGAAATAAATCTGGTTAAAGCCTTGAGAATGGCTTTAGTATTAATACCCCTCAAGGAAGGTTCCTTGATGTTGGTGAGGGGCTCTTGATTTAGGGAATTGGATCTGTGCTCCAGTTCCCCGAATTAAGCCTGAATGCCTTCCACATCCCCCCCCCCCAGGCGCTGTATAATCCTCCGGGTTTAGCGCTTCCCCCTTGATTATAATAATAATAATAATTTAGTATTAATAGTGCACATTGGAATTGCTTCAGGGTATCTAGTTACTCTATCCATTATGGTAAATAAGTACTGATTTCCAGACTTTGACCTATGTAGTGGACCTACACAATCTATAATTAAATCTGCAAAAGGCTCTCCATCAGCAGGTATAAACTGGAGAGGTGCAGGTTTAATGAAATGTCTAGGTTTCCCTACCTGCTGACATTCTCGGCAACACCGGATATGATTCTTCACATCCTGCTTTAATTTTGGCCAATAAAATTCTTTTGTGATTCTATAATGTTTTAGTAATTCCTAGGTGACCACCTAATGAGTATTATGAGCTATATTCAATATTTGAGGTCTAAACTTTGTTGGAACCACTAACCTGTCTGACAGTTTGCTTGTCCTCTATCTTCTTACCAGTCTCAGTGCAGATCAAATAATCGTTTTTAAGTTTATACTTGACTGGATGATCCGAAAAGGATTTACCCATGACTGCCTGGAAAGCGAAACTCAAAGAAGGGCCCTTTCGTTGTTCCTCCAGGAAGGACAGTCCCTCGGGCATGGAAACAGAGATATCTCGCAATCCTGCTACCCTGGAATAGGAAGGCTTGATCTGGGTCTGTTCACTTGATCTACGAGGCCCTGGCTAGTTTTCCTCGTAAAACAAATTGGCTATTCCGAGATCGGAGTCGTCCAAGGATAGGTCAGCATTCTCTCCAGACAACCCTTCAGATGTTGCCCGAGTTATGGCCAACACCGGAGAAGAATTAATCATTATGGGTTCAGGACATACACTAGCAGTGGTAATGTTATTACCCAGTAATTACATGGCATCTTGCATGGGGAATCCCTCGGATACACCCACAGTCAAGTGTCCAGTGTAATATTTGCACTGTACATAAATTCTATGCAAGGGGACAGAAAATATTGCTCCTCCGAAGGCTTCCAGCAAAACAGAGGACTGCAGGGAGGTATTCTTGGAAAGGGGAAGTACTCCCTCTCTTATAAGTTAGCAATATGCTCCAGTATCTCTAAAGGTTCTGACTCCAGTTGTTTTTGAGTCTTCCTGAAGGGAAATACGACTCTAACAGTAATAAGGGGCCATCCCTTTCTTTACTTCTTTCAGGGACATGTTACTAGGGATATTATAGATTTTCCCAATAGGTTGGAGTTTGTGGGGGCAGTTGGGACGGATGTGGAAGCAGACGACAGGCTGGCCCCTTACTCCCTGCTGACATTGCAACTGGTGTCGCTCTGGCTGTTGTCTCTCTGGATACTGTTGTCTAGTTGCACCATGTTAAGTGGTTTGTCTCTCACCAGGTGGACCATAAGTTAAGTAGCGTGGCTCACCAGGTGGCTTAATTGGCTGACGTAGACGTTCTCCCTCCGGGTGGCACTTCATCCTCCAAGGTTGACGATCTCTGCTCATGCCAGGCTGTTGAAAAGAGAGATGGGACCGCTGGGACAAGGAGCGGTTAGTTTCAAAGGTATCAGCCACCTGGCTGTCTCCAATGCAGTGGTTAAGTCACGATCCTGCAGAAAGACTTTAACCTCTGGTCCCACAGACTCCAGCAGGTTGTCAACCAGAATAAGCTGCACGAGATCATCGAAGGTAGCAATTCCACTTGCTTTAACCAGCTGGTAAAAGTTTTGGTCTGCTGTAGCACAAAATCAACCAGGATTGACCAAGCTGTCGTCTGCCTGACTTAAAGATCTTTCTGTATTTAGCTGATATACGTATATGCCCCCAAAACGGTGGTCTTTACTACTTTATAATCGGAAAAAATCAGTATCATTTAACACTGACGTAAATTCCTGTGCCTTACCAAACAATGCTGTATCAACCAACGATCCCCAGTGCTGTTCCAGCCACCTCAAGGCTCGAGCCTGATTTTCGAAAGCTTCTAAAATTTTTCTGGTTCGGCC